TTGAGCTGCGGCGTTTTTGGAAAGGGTCTGGGACTTTTTTATTATTTATTTATTTCAGGTACTTACAGTATATAGCGCCGTCAATTTACGCAACGCTTTACATATATATTGTACATTCACATCAGCCCCTAACCCTCAAGGGGTGTACAATCTAAGGTCCCTAACGCACATCATACATACACATACTAGGGCCAATGTAGACAGGAGCCAATTAACCTCCCGGCATGTCTTTGGAGTGTGGGAGGAAACCGAAATATCCGCAGGAAACCCACGCAGGCACAGGGAGAACATGCAAACTCTAGGCAGGTGGTGCCTTTAAAAAGCAAAAAGCAGCGTTTTTGCTACCATAGAGTCCAATGAAGAAGCTGCTGAGATGCAAGATAGTGCATTTCTGCAGTGTTTTGCATTCATTCTGCCCAGCAAGGCTAGGCTATGGATGTGTTTTGGTAAGCACAGTGGTGTATTTAGGTTTTGTGCTGCCCTAGGCAACACAAAAATCGTTTGCCCCCACAGACACTGACCAACACCCCCCTCTACAACAGCCAGGCTCTACATACACACCAAGCAGCCCACAGCCTGTCTTGGATCCCACCTGGTTCCCATGGCATGCGTGTCCCTTCTTTCATCCCTTCTTCTGGGGGGAGGTGCTGCCCCCCTTGAAAATTGCCGCCCTAGGCAAGTGCCTTGTGGTAAATACGCCCCTGGGTAAGCAGTGCCAGGCATCTGGATTGCATTGAACTTTAAAGCCTCATTTAGATAACGTTTGCCCTGTGAATTACTGTGTCTTAGTTGATGCTTCCAGATTCATTGTATATTCCGTTAGCCAAAAATTTGGTGGAACTTTGATTTTCAGCAGATCTCCGCTCCGTACGTCACTTCAGTGAGTCAGAACGAGTGTATGTAGACTGTGCCCAGTCTTACAAAATACAGTGATGGACAGTGATTCTGAGGACAATAAGAGTACAATCAAGTGGGATTACAATTTAGGGATTATTTCACCAAAGCGGCTTTCCATTTAAAAATCCCTTCAAACAAGCCCTGATGGATCAAGTGATAAATGTAACCCCTGATGCAAGTGTGAAAATCTCTTTAGAGCTTGCACAGACATGTAGGGTATCATTAGAGAAGAGAACATCAGATGAATAATTTGCTGCCCGCACTAGGAGGTGAGTGCTTTGACTGTTGACAAGTGCTATGCTTACATTTCTAATCCTTCTGATTTTGCCACCTAAAAGGTGGTTCTTTGGTTCATTTTAAAAAATTGTTGATATTATTATAATACAGGGTTTATATAGCGCCAACAGTTTGCATAGCGTTTTACAACATGAGGGCAGACAGTACAGTTACAATACAATTCAACAGAGTAGGAATCAGAGGGCTCTGCTCATTAGAGCTTACAATCTAAAAGGGAAGGTCAAGTGATACAAAAGGTAAGAGCTGTGGGGGTGGAATGATGGAGAAAGTGGAAGTTAGGTGAAGGATTTTCTGAAGAGAAGGATTTTTAGGGATCGCCTAAAAGTGGACAGAGTAGAAGATAGTCAGACAGATTGGGGTAGAGAGTTCCATAGGAGGAGTCTTGGAGGTGAGCATGGGAGGAGATAGTGAGCAAAAGGTCTATGGAGGAATGAAGAGAATGATTAGGTCAGTATTTAGAGACTAGGATAGTCATGTTGCTGGGGCCCAGATGTGGATGGCTTTGTAAGTTGTTAGTATTCTGAATTTAATTTGTTGGGTGAGTAGCAGCCAATGAAGGGATTAGCATAAAGGGGTAGCAGACACTAAATGCTTTGATCGCCCCTAGATGTTAACCCCTTCCCAGCCAGTGTCATTAGCAGGGATGGACTGACCATTTGGAAACTCGGGCACTGCCCGAGAGCCCGGGGGTCAGTAGGGGGCCCCATGAGATGCCCCTGGTACCTTTTTCATAGGTTTTTTTGAGTTTGGGCAAGGACACAGGGGCCCCATGATCCCCTATTGCCCGGGGGCCCCATGAGTTGTCAGTCCGCCCCTGGTCATTAGTACAGTGTCAGTGTATATTATTAGCACTGATCACTGTATTAGCGTCACTGGTTCCCACAAAGCGTCAGTGTCAGGTTGACCGCCATACTATCACAGTCCCGCGATAAGTCGCAGATCGCCGTCATTACTAGTATAAAGAAAAAAAAATCCGGTGTATAAATACCGTCATTTGTAGATGCTACAAAAACCCCAGTGGTGATCAGGTACCACCAAAAGAAGGCTCTATTTGTGTGAAAAAAAGGATAGAACTTTAATTTGTGTACAGTGTTGCATGACCAGGCAATTGCCAATTAAAGTAGTGCTGTGCCGTAGAGCAAAACATGGCCTGTTCACGAAGGGGGGTAAATCCAGTGAGCAAGTGGTTAAAGTGAACACGTCACATAAATCAGAAGAGCATATGACAGGGTTACCATATATATTTAATAATATGAATTTACAAAAGTGCCACAATTTAAAATATTGCTTTTTTTTTTTTCCCAAATCCCCAACCTAGGCAACCTGGATTACATGGTTTCTAGCACACTTTTATTTCTGCAGAAAGTCTGTAGTTTTCAATCAGCAGTGAGAGAAGACAATCAAAAAAGCTTACACAGATAAAACAAACTATACATATATACAAGGTTTGTAATGCATAACACACACTGATCACACTATGTACAATAAGTTGATTTTGTATACATGTATTTCTGAAACCTTTAAAAGGCCACTCTTCTCCTTTAGGAATGCTTCTAATAACAACTAATTAGGATTCCACTTTCATCATCATCGAATTTCCTGATTAGGTGTTATGGGAAACTGTTCCACGTTTGTTCTAGTTTTGTAATTCATCCCCACAATGACGTCAGGTGCAATTTAGTTTTGTATCCCAGCCTCACTATGGCATATGGCACAATGCATCTAAAGCTGGCCATACACTAGTAGAACCTCCTTTGAAGGATTTCTGAATGTGTTAGTTCGATTTTCTAGTGGGGTCAAACCTGCAATCATTTTCCAATGTAATTACAAGAAGATACGTTGGGGCAGGGGCGGACTGACAACTCATGGGGCCCCCAGGCAATAAAAGATCAAGGGGCCCCCTGTGTCCTTGCCCACATTCAAAGTACACCCAAAGAAAGCCTATAAAAAGGTACCAGGGGCATTTCATGGGGCCCCCTACTGACCTTGGGCCCTCAGGCAGTGCCCGAGTGCTTGAATGGTCAGTCCGCCCCTGCGTAGGGTACAAATGGCAGAATTTGACTTTTCTCTCAGGAGAATCGTACTAAAGCCGGCCATACAAAGATTGAAATTTGGCCAGCTCAGCAGGGACTGGATGAATTTCGGTCCATGTATGGGCAAGGTGGTTATAAAGAAGTCAATCTTCCAATTGACTTTTGTACAATTGCTCTGTCGGATTTTTGCTGATCAGTGTATTCTGATGGTGGGTGAGTATCCTATCTGTCAAAATATAATCGTTCAATGGGGAAGATTCCCCCATCTACTTTGAGTGTGTGGATAAGGGAATCAAGTCCTTCTTTTTTTCGTTCAAATAGCCGGTTGAATGGAAAAAAAAATGACTAATGTATGGGCTGCTTTATTGTAATGCATATGTTGTTGGCACAAAAGAACTTTTTTTTTTTAATGCGTCTGGGATTCCATACACCAGTATGGAATCCCAGTAAGTTTGGACAGATTTTTAAGAGCTTTGACACTAAATTTGTTGACTCAGTTGAGGCTGAATGCTCTGACAATACTTTTACGTACAAAGGCTTGAACAAAATTCTACTGTTGCATGGCCAGCCTAACCATGTGTTATGGGATACATATTTTAGAATCTTTCTATCATTAAACTTCACATTAATCAATGTCTAGCTAGAAACAAATGGTATTGTGGGTGTTTTATGTCATCCAAGATGGTTTTATACTCAGAAAGACATAAATCAAAGGTTTAGAAGGGTCTAATAGACTGCGATAAGATGATTACCATTAGTTTTCACATATACTGTATGTCACAAACACTGTAGTTCCCCTTTAATTGTAATAAACGACACCCTTGTCTATCTGTAGAAGGTCATCATGTATTCATAGTTGTATGGACAACTCTATCATTATCATTCCATACATTGACTTATAGAATTAAAGTGCCTTGTGCAAGGAAACTTTAAGACAGTTCAGCTACTTCTTCACATTTACCTCCAGTTCACATATATGCGGCCATGCGGGACGCGTTTTGCATGGGCACGAGAGTCCATTGATTTGAATGGACTCCCGTGCCCGTGACACGCAGGGAAGAAGTCCCTGCACTTTTGGAAAAACCTTGGTTCCCAGTACGGTTGCGTTTTCCAGTGCGGGTGGCGTGCTGTTAGAACTGATGGCACCCGCCCGCGGGTCCACATTCCTCTGTGCGGGTGGTGCGGCTGCACGGATTTTCATACGGATCCACCACCCACACAGATTTGAACCTAGGGTCAAGAACTGACTCAAATTATTTGGGAAACAAAGCAAGAGGCTGTGTGGTGCATTGAACCCACTGTAACCAACCAGATATTACTGTCTGTACTTTTCTGGTCAGAGTCTGGTCAGTTGCTGTGGGCTTCCCCACCAACATGTTCAGTTACATGAAAATTAGAACTTCGACCAGTCAAAGCAGGCAGGGTAGCGCCTTCCTTTATGGAGTCAGAGAACCTGTGGCTTCCTATGGCAACAACAGAAATGGCTCAGGAGTTATTTTACCAATAAATATGGGACATAAGTAATCACAGCAGATAACTTTCATTTCATTGATTGCTTCAGAAGTTTTAGGCATTAATGTTTGTGTGTGCAAATGTGAACTTGTTGCCACGTTCACAACCTGTTTAGAGACCGTTGTAAAGAGCCTTAGAGAAAGGAAGATACTTTCAGTGATGGCACTGTGAATTGGTGTATAATTGGCATCTAATGTGTATGAGAGGCATTTCTGCAAGACACATGGATGTTGAACACTATAAGGTCCTTGTACACAGTGATCACTCTGGTATAAGGATGATTGAACCTTCTCTTCCTCCACCAGTATCTGCCACCTCTGGGTGGCCCTCTTCTATTTTCCCCTTCCGGACTCTCCAGATCCAGGCTCCTCCGCGGTCTTGAGCTAAGGAACATTTCAGCTCAATCCCACAGTCTGCAATATCTGTCTTCCATGGGATCGGATTTCCTTCTGAATTTACTATAGTGAATGGTTTGATTGGGATCTGTAGAGAAGAGAGAGAGAGAAGTAGATTTAATAGTCATACTCGGATTGCTGATGTAGATTCTTTTAAAGATCTCTTACATTCTAATTGGAAGAATACTTTCATCTAAAACAGATTACCACATTATTGGTGGTAAACCAAAGTTTTAGAATGTATTTATCCACAGTTAGTGGATTTGCCTTTACTTGGAGATTTGTCACTGATCGTTGTTGAGCGAGGAATTTGTTTACAGTGATTCAAGCTTCATGCCATTGAGGAAATCCTATGTACTTCTTATGTATTCTGAATCACTCGAAGAGCTTAGGCCTCAAACTGATAGAGTAATGTGGTATTTAAACTTGCAGTCCAGGAAATAATTTGATTGTTTTTCTGTTTCAATATTTTTATTATTAAGAAAGTTTTGTTTTAAGAATACAACAAGCTCAAGATCAGGGGCGGACTGACAACTCATGGGGCTCCCGGGCAATAGGTGATCATGGGGCCCCTGTGTCCTTGCCCAAACTCAAAAAAGCCTATGAAAAAGGTACCAGGGGCATCTCATGGGGCCCCCTACTGACCCTGGGCCCTTGGGCAGTGCCTTAGTTTCCAAATGGTCAGTCCGCCCCTGCTCAAGATACGCCCACGCAGTTGCAGAGCAGAACAATAACACATAAATTGATTGCTTTAAAACAAATTGCTTTGAATATTTTTTTTTTCCTGGTCCAGCTAAACTTTGAGTATTCAGTTTATTTTTTAAAGCGGAGCTCCATCCAAAAGGGGAAGTTCCGCTTTAAGGACTGCTCCCCCCGCTCCCCATTAAGGATTGGCACCTTTGGGGGGGGGGGGGGGAGCAGGTACCCGAATTTGACAGGTACCCCCGCTCCCACTTCTGCTCCGATCCCCTAGGCGATCAGAAATGGAAGGTGTCCTCCCTCCCTCTTTTTGGGACACGTGACAGGTCCCAGAAGACTACAGGACCATTCATGAAGCGCAGCGCTACTCGCGCATGCACAATGGGTGCTCGGCTGTGAAGCCACAAGCTGTCACAGCCGGGTGCCAACACTGAAGATGCCGGCCTCCTGGAATATAGGACTGCCGGTGATATGGACTGCGGGGGACACACCGTGGGACCGAGGGACAGGTAAGTGGCTGTTTTTGTAGCTGCTGACTTTTATTTTTTGATAGGGTGAGTGGAACTCCGCTTTAAGGTTAAAGTGGATGTCCAGTCATAACCTAACTAAGCTAAAACCTGCTCCCATCCCCATTCTAAGCCCTATACTAACTATCCTGTAAAGGAAAGATGTGTGTACTTACCTAATCTATGGGCCTTCCAGTCCAGTCACATGATGGGCTCCCAGCTCCAGCATCAGGGATATGGAGGGACAGGCAACAGATGCCCCATTGTAAGTCCTATGGGTGAATTCACTGCCCAGGCTTTGAAGTTGTTGTCAATGATCTCTCCACTCCCCTGAAGCTGGCCGCTGGGGAGATCGCATGACTGGACCGGACTGCCTTTTAGATTAGATAAGTATAGATATCTTTCCTTTGCAGTGTAGTTAGTATAGGGCTTAGAATGGGGGTGGGAGCAGGTTTAAGCTTAGTTTGGTTTTGCCCAGAATTACACCGGACTTTCATAAAAAAACACAAAACCGTGGGGAAGAAAGTGAGAAAATAGGAGAAGTACATTAATAGAGCTGACATACAGTTTAGGATGCTTAAAGAAGGAGGTATGACATTTTATACAAAGTCACATTGGTCGAGCTTGTAACTATGTATATACTGTACCTGTGGTATAGAAGCTGGATTATTATTATTATTTTTATAATACGGGATTTATAGAGCTCAAACAGTTTACGCAGTGCTTTACAACATAAGGGCAGACAGTACAATTACAGTACAAATTATTACAGGAGGATTCAGAGTTCCCTGTTCATAAGAGCTTACAATCTAAGAGCTCCACTTGCTTCCAGCACCCATGCTAAGTGGCTGCTCTGCTGCCTTCTAAATACGAGGTTGACATGTGTGGTGTTCAATGAATGTTTAGAATTTTCTCAATGAATTCTGTCATAAGACGAGGTAGAGCATGTGATGTCACCACCCCCCACCTCTCCACCTCAGTCAGAGGAGAACACAAATCATTTTCTGAATGGCGTCTGTGCTGAGCAGCCGATCTGTAACAGGAACCACTCAGCACAGGAGCTAGAAACTAGTGGAGGTCACTGGATTAGCGGTGCCTACTGTAGGGATTTCCAGCTTCTAGATGGATTGCACAAGTATGGTATATGCACAGTTACATTGGCCCAAGCTTGACCATGAATGCCGTGCCTGGAATTCTCTTTAAGGCCTTGTTCACATCATGGTTCAGAGACATCAGTTTTTCTGCACACATTATACAAGGGCTCAACAAAATCACTTTGCGCAGGAATCTGCAACGTGTATAAAACTCATTGTAGCTCGCCTAAAAAACGGATGTCTCTGCAAGTGAAATCTGCATGTCAGTTTCCTTCAGTTTTTCTGCACGTATGGTGAGAACGAGGCCTAAGAATTGAACAGTTTATTGGCTATTGCAGTATTTTGTTTGCACGTTTATTGTTTTTATATGAAAATACTTGCCATGACTTGTTTCTCATGTGTCTCCTTATTTATAAGTCTAGTATGAAGGACCTTTTCTTTTAAATAGGTTGAGGCAGGCTTTTATAGCGTACAGCTTTGTTTCCGGTCTCATATACTGCAGGCCTTAGAATTCAGCCACTTACCTGACTGCTGATGCCCACTGCCAGGTCTCCCAGCTTGGTACTGCCAGACTCCCAGATGTGTAGTGTTTCACCACTGAAAGTTTGCAATTGTACTTTTACCCCTGAAACACAAATTAACATAGAGGGATCAGTGTCTGTATTCTGACTTACATGTGTTTGTTACAACATCATTTATATTATTGAATCCCCAGGCAGTGAATCGATCTAGAGCAGTCATTCTCAACCTTTTCATCCAGAGGAACCCCTGGCATAACTTTCCGGTCTCAGGGAACCCCTGATAAAAATGGCTTTATCTACAATTCATGATACATTAGTGTGATAGCCAGAGGTAAGAATGCTCCTTACACTTGTGGTCATTGGGAAGAATTACCCCCTTACAGATAGCCAAATAGATCAATGGTGTCAGTGGGAACTTACCTGAGAGGCAAAAATTGCTGATTGCTCAAGGAACCCCTGTCAACCTCTGGAGGAACCCTAGGGTTCCACGGAACCCTTGTTGAGAAACCCTGATCTAGAGTATAACAAGTTTTGCCTGTGCAATCAAAATTAGGTCTAAGAAAGTTGTCTTGCAGTGAACCTACTACTGAACCAAAGTTCTTCAATGGTCATTGTGCAAAATGAGGAGGTTCTTGGAACAGGACGTATATTGGATTCATAAGGGTTCCAGGATCCTTTTAAGTTTCAATAACCACTAGGATGTAAAAGTTTTTCTTAACTGTTAGGTTTTTTATTATTTCAGTTTTGTTTTCATAGCATGCACAACTATTAAATATTGATTGATTAACCCCACCTATCTCTGTTTAGTGGACCGTATGTGAATCAAGCACTACTAGATACTGTAGTAGTAGTAGTAGTAGACAGTACTAATGTACTTGGCAGCAAGCTATGAGTAAGGCTGCTACTGCTGAAACATGTCGGCGTGCTGTTTTTATAAGATGTACATCTTTTTTTAAAAATAAACTTTGAGAACTTGGAGACGTGTGCGGGACTTTTCAAATACTTACCATTGAACCAACTAGGGGTGGTTGTGCTTCCCCCGCTGAACAGGGAGTCGCTTTGTAGGCTCCATGCTTCCATTTGGCTGTCCCATGAATGGATTCCAGAACTTCTAGTGTCCAAAGTATTCATGGATTCCTGTAGTGTTGATAAGAGAATGGTGAGTATGCAGAGTTACATAGTGAAAAAGAAGACCTATGTCTTTCAGGCTCAGTCCGCCTAACAACAGTTCAAACCTACAGTTGATCAAAGAGAGCGGGAACCCCATAGGAAGCTTGAATGTCTTAGTAATGGTTATGGTGTATGAGTCCATCGAGGGGATAGATCTCACTTCCAGATAAATTGACATTTGAGTGATTTAGATAAAAAGCATATATCTAGTCTGACATAGGTGCTTTAGGTTGACTAACCCTTCTTGGCAAGTTTCATGTTTCACATGACTGTCATATTGACAGTCATAAGCCTTTAAGTGTTTCTATATTTTGTTTCTGCTCCTCCCTTTCCTTTGGTTTAATTAATGCTGTATAGATAGCCCTCCCCCTTCCCAGAAATGCATTGCAGCTCTAGCCTCATGTCATGGAGCAGGACACATTATGATCTTTTGACCTATCGAATGTTCATTGTTGTAAGATTCTCTCAGTTTATGGAATAAACTTCACACGATCTACAAGATGTCTTATCGATTGAGTCACTGACTGTGGTATCCAACTGAGGTTGAAGTTATCGCTATCTTATCACAACTGTAAGTTACAGAGATCACACTATCAATTCTTAGATTGGAGAGACAGAACAGCAAGAGATGAGACAATGAAAAGAAAATCCTGAACATCATATATTCATACCTTGCCACTGAGCAGTGGATCCAGGCTGTTCTCACGGAGAAACTGGGTATCCCGAGAGAATAGTTCGGAGAGGTTTTCCCGGTACAGGTCTGCACAAACAACAACAATGTTTCAGAAAGTCATTGAGAAACGCATTCCTTAGGTACATTATAGCATTTTTCTTAACACTTTGATGCTTACATACAAACTGTCACCTACAGAGCTGACTGGAAACCAAATGCTGCAGGTTTTTTAGTAGCAGGAAAAAAAAGATGATTTCTCATAGGTGCATTGTCAATGTACAGGGAAACCCTTTACTGCGTGAACACCGCTATTAAACACCACTGGTTTGTTTTTTACAACCATTTTCAAGAGATTTCATGAATTGTAATCATACCTATTTCTAAACGCTCGATCTCCATTTCACATGAAGTTCTGGTTTGTTCCACGCTTCTGACATTTGTTGGTAAAGGAGAGTCTTGGGTTATGTTTTTGATATGCTGGTTAAGCACAGGTCTAGGTTCTTCAGGAAACAGCTTGGGTTTGGACTGGGTGGTCTCAGGTTCTTTTTGGGCCGAAGGAAATTTCCTGGGTTCTCTGTATGCTGAATCACATGGAGAGCTCAGGCCTCCAACTAAAACAGAAATGATAGAACAACAATGGTCAGCTTTGACAATTCTAAAGGCAGATATGCATCTCATTGTAAAGCCCTGTACACACGGGCCGAATATCAGCTGGTTCAATAGAAACAATGAATCATGACTGTCTGGTGGTTCTGAACCTTTTCTCAGTCACGGACCCCTTTGAGAATCTGATGAAAGCTATTTAAATGGTAAACATGGGCCAACAACGAGTCAAGAGACTCTTAATGGTTGACGGTATGAGCAGTGGCAGGATGTGTTTTTTTTTTTCTTTAATTGTTTTTCAATTTTAGTTTCATCTCATTTTCTTCCTTTTAATTTCTTGTCCCAATCAATGGGAAACCATTGATTGGGAAAAGGGGAGTAGAGTGAATGTAAATGCCATTTTTTTATTTGACTCTCATGGACCCTTTGAAACTCAGCCACTTAAAGGGTCCATGAAGCCCAGGTTTAAGTACCCCTGGTGTAAAAAAAAAAATCACAGTGCTTACTTGTTTTTAGTGCCTGATCCACTCTGTGCTTGAGCTCTGAAGCTGTTGCTCTGTTATTTGGATCTTTCTGTAATCCAGCCACTATCAGGTCTCGGGTTAGAGGGTGAATATTTGGAGGAATTTCCTGCAGTGGTGGAGGCTCTTTCGCAATCTACAAAAGGAAAAAGATCAGTATATCCTAAGTCTTATCAAATGAATATAACAAACGGCTGTTTTGAATCCCGTCTGAGTATGGTACTTACCTTTAAACATAAGGGTGCTGTATGTGTGCGGCTCCATGGGTGCCAGCCATTCAGCATGTGAAGAAGCATGCAACATGCACTCCACACATCTAACTTTGTGCCACAGGGATCCCCGTGCACTATTTCTGGGGGCCATGTGAGTCTCAGTACCTGGTACATAGTTGGCTGCAGTAAAACAAGAAAATCAGTTATCAGGATGGCATAAAATACATTTTGTTGTTGTTATGTTTAATATATATATACATATATAAGGACTTTCACTGACGGGTAAGCTCTGCTAATGCATTTTTATGCTGTGCTCAGCATGAACTGTCTAGGGTTTTGACAGTTTTACTTTTAACGGGTAGTGTGGCAGACCATATATTTACATACATATGCAAGAAAAGACTATAAACACCTATTTATCCCAGCTTAATAAAGATGACTAGGGCCTAAACAGTCAAAAGGCCATAACTACTCACCTGTCAATAGGTTTGTTCCAGAGCTACCAGGAGGGAGGTGAGCAGCATGCCCAAAGTCACACAGGTACACTGTGCTATGGTCTTCAGTCAGGAGAACGTTGTCAGCTAAAAACAGACATGATGGTTTAAGTAGACACAAAGAAAGGTGCATCAGAGTTCCTGAGTACAGGGAACATTACAGAATCTGAAGCAAAGTCTCACAGCTGTGTATTTATTTATTTATTTCAGGTACTTCTATAGCGCAATTTATGTAGCTCTTTACATATATACATGAATACTGCTGCCAGGCTCATCCACCTTACCAACCGTTCAGTGTCTGCTACCCCTCTCTGCCAATCCTTCCACTGACCTCCACTCAGTGTCCTCCACCCCTCTCTGCCAATCCTTCCACTGACCTCCACTCAGTGTCCTCCACCCCTCTCTGCCAATCCCTCCACTGACCTCCACTCAGTGTCCTCCACCCCTCTCTGCCAATCCTCCACTGAGCCTCCACTCAGTGTCCTCCACCCCTCTCTGCCAATCCCTTCACTGACCTCCACTCAGTGTCCTCCACCCCTCTCTGCCAATCCCTCCACTGACCTCCACTCAGTGTCCTCCACCCCTCTCTGCCAATCACTCCACTGACCTCCACTCAGTGTCCTCCACCCCTCTCTGCCAATCCTCCACTGACCTCCACTCAGTGTCCTCCACCCCTCTCTGCCAATCCCTCCACTAGCCTCCACTCAGTGTCCTCCACCCCTCTCTGCCAATCCCTCCACTGACCTCCACTCAGTGTCCTCCACCCCTCTCTGCCAATACCTCCACTGACCTCCACTCAGTGTCCTCCACCCCTCTCTGCCAATACCTCCACTGACCTCCACTCAGTGTCCTCCACCCCTCTCTGCCAATCCCTCCACTGACCTCCAATCAGTGTCCTCCACCCCTCTCTGCCAATCCCTCCACTGACCTCCACTCAGTGTCCTCCACCCCTCTCTGCCAATCACTCCACTAGCCTCCACTCAGTGTCCTCCACCCCTCTCTGCCAATCCCTCCACTGTCCTCCACCCCTCCTCCATCACTCAGTGTCCACCTTCCACCCCTCTCTGCCAATCCCTCCACTGACCTCCACTTGCTCGACGAATAAAATTCAAAATACTATCAACAACTTACAAAGCCATCCACATCTCTGCCCCCAGCTACATCACCAACCTGGTCTCAAAATATCAACCAAACCGCTCTCTTCGATCCTCCCAAGACCTTCTGCTCTCTAGTTCCCGTGTCACATCCTCCCATGCTTGCCTCCAGGACTTCTCCCGAGCTTCTGCCATCCTATGGAACTCTCTACCCCAATCTGTCTGGCTGTTTCCTAATCTATCCACCTTTAGATGATCCCTGAAAACCTTTCTCTTTAAAGAAGTCTATCCTGATTTTACCTAGTAAGCAACAATTTATTTCCTCCATCAGCTCATCCCCCCACAGCTATTACCGTTTGTATCACTCAACCCTTCCTCCTAGATTGTAAGCTCTAAGGAGCCGGGCCCTCTGTTTCCTCTTGTACCAAATTGTATTGTATTTGTATTGTCTGCCTTCATTTTGTAAAGCGCTGCGCAAACTGTTGGTGATATATAAATCCTGTATAATAATAATAATATATATAGTACATTTACATCAGTCCCTAACCCTCAAGGGGCGTACAATCTAAGGTCCCTAACTCACATTAATATACTAGGGCCAATTTAGACAGGATCCAATTAACTTAACAGCATGTCTTTGGAGTGTGCAAGGAAACAGGAATACCTGGAGGAAACCCACGCAGACACAGGGAAAACATGCAAACTCCAGGCAGGTGGTGCTGTGGTTGGGATTCAAACCCACGACCCTAGTACTCCCAGGCGGAAGTGCTAACCATTTAGCCACTGTGCTGCTATTCAGAGCTAATACAAGACACACAGCAGCATGTTAAAACCCAAATGAACTGTCAGTTTAAATGCACTAAATACATTCCAGGTACATAAAAACAAAAAATTGGGCAAAGTTTTATCATTTTATTTAGAAAGCAGCCACAGCCTAAAACATCTGTATCCTGCCAGCATGCTGCAGAGGAAACCCTTGCTTTGTGGAGTCAGTGGTCTCTCTGCAGGGGTCTGACATGCCCACTATCTGTCAGGCCTATAGTTCTGCAATCAGCAAAGCTCATACCAGATTTGATTGAAGATTGTATCTCTGGACCTCTTGTACTTTGTGGAAGCAGTGGTCTCTCTGCAAGGGTCCAGAAGAAGCATGAGCTTTGCTGACTGCAGAACTGCAAGCTGTGGCTGCTTTAGAAAGAGAATGCATTGCAATTATCTAACCACATTTTGTTTTGATGTATCTGGAATGTGCTCAGCTGATTTAAACTGAAAGTTCAGTTTGACCGTAGGAATCCATAAACATGGAGCTTACCTTTAACATCTCCATGTATTACTCTGTTAGCATGGAGCTGTTTGAGTCCCCCCAGAACCTGTGACAAGTAATAGAGAGCTCTGTCCTCTGTTAAGTAGCCGTTTTTCTTGATCAGCTGGCCCAGAGAGCCTCCTGAAAGACAGAATAGAGATCATTTCTGTATTGTATTACCAGTTGTGTCATATTGAATGTAATGTAATACTTATTTTAGGAATGTTCAATGAACAGAACCAAGTTTGCAGTGTTCTAAGGCATGTGGATTCAAAATGTTTACATGAAGTTTATTGGTCTCCAAACTGTGGCCCAGGGGGCCGGATGCAGCCTTTTGCTTGACTTTATCAGGCCCTTGGGGCACTATTCCTCCCACTTATACAAACCAGTATTCCTTTCACTGACATTAACAATGGGATATAATTCCTGCCACTGACACCATTGATGGGGTACTATTCCTCTCACCAACACCAATGATGCAGCATTGTTATCGATGCCAAGACAATTTCTACTCCTATTGGCCACAGGCCAGCCCCTCTAAAATCTGAGGGATAATAAACTGGCCCTTTTGCCAGCCATAGACGGGCCAAAAATCGGCCGATTTTTCGCATCGTTAGTGGGTTAACTGGTCGGCCGTTTTTCGTGGGTTTTTGCACATATTTTTTATCGGGCATGTTGGAAAATTCGCGGCCAATTTTGACGATCGGCCGATTTTCCTGGCAATGATGGGCAAATCGGCCGATCGTTTTACCGATAAAAAAAATGCACATGAGCCGTGACCTGCAAGAAGAGAAAAAAGAAGAAGAAACAGAAGAAGAAGAAAAAGCAGCAGAAGAAGAAGAAAAAGAAGAAGAAGAATTCCAGTCCGCTATTATATTTTATATGAAAAGTATTGCGGTTGCAACAATGTATCCATTTGTATCCAAATAAAACCATCTGTATCCAAAATGGATACAAATCGATACATTGTTGCAACCGCAAGACTTTTCATATAAAAAATATAATAGCGGACTGGAATTCTTAGGGACAGAAATAATTATGGGGTTAAATGCCGGCCATAGACGGGACGAAAATTGGATGATTTTTTTACCGTTGGTAACGTCGGCCAATCGAACGACCGATTTTTTTGTGGTTTTTTTTTTTAAAACGGCCGGTTTTTGACCTGTCTATGGCCTGCTTAAGTTTAGAAAGTTTGGAGACCCCTGCTATAGACCAAAATCCAAACGGCCAAAACCTTTTTTTTTCTTTTTCAGTAGAGAAAGGAGCATTTAAAATTCCGAGCAGGGTATGTTGCCCATTGGGGAAATTTCCCTTCCCTTCCCTTCCTGTCCCTTAGACATAGAAGATATCAATGTAAATGGAGGGAAATTACCATAAAAGGTGTTCCCCTTGGAAGATCTTTTTTGGTCTAAACTCAAAATGTTGGCATTTTCTTCACTTTTTAGAATTGTCCCAATAGTCATCAGGATAAATCAAGATGGTGAATCTTACTAGCGGGGGATGCAGCAATAAAAACCCAACAGGTGTCCTAATTCCTCACCACTCTGTCCCAAATAGGAAACAAAATTTGGTGTAAGGTACATGTAAAGGCCCGCTGAGGCCCGTACATGGTGACGTTTGCTTAGGTTTCCCCAAGTGACAGGTGCTGTGTGTCCAGGCACAGCTGCTCATCCTAATATAACATGGGTCGCACACCCACACTCACATTAGGACTAGCAGCTGTGTCCATGCAGCCACTGTGTCCTCAGGCTTGAATCCGATGCCTGCATGTAGCACCTAGCAATACATAAAGAAAGGCCAATTGTATGCGCCTCAGTGTCCGTGTGAATGAGACCCAATAATAAATCGTTTTTTACTCTGTAGTATTGATGAGAATTGTGTATAATAGTATAAATAGTAAAATACGTTACCATTCACCATCTTCATGAACACAGTGATCCAGGGTCCTTCTCGGATTGCCCCGTACACTGGGACTATTTTATCAGAATTCACAGACAGGCAACAGATCACCTCCTGAGATCTGAATCTGCTAACATGGATCTGGCAGAGAAAGGGAAAGATGATGCATATTAGAGAGTTAGCCAGGAAGAAAGGCCCAAATGTCCTCTGACAACAGTGAAAAACAAAGGCCCACAAGCTTTTTCATACCTTTTTGGCTGCAAATTGAAATCCTGAAGTTTTATCTTTTCCCAAGTAAACATCCCCAAAGGCTCCACTGCCTAGAACATCTCCAGATTTCTCCCAATGGATATCTTCTCGATATTCATAATCCTCAGCCATCATTTCCTAAAGTACAAAGTATGAGGTTGTTATACAATGCATTATTAACGTGCTCTTCAGCTTGTTTCATGTTAGCGGTCTTCAGCAGGGGCGTCCCTAGGGTTGGTGTCACCCGGTGCAATAACACTTGGTGACACCCCCTCCGATGATCCCCGCAGAATGGATCGGATCTGCGGATTGAGCATAACAGATCGGAGTCCGATCCATTATGCTCCCCAATCCGCAGATCCAATCCATCTTGCGGTAAACATCGGCATGCAACCTATACGGGGTGACACCGGACTCGCTCCACGAAAAGGTAAGTTTTATAAAGAAAGCCGACGATCCCCGCAGAATGGATTGGATTCATCCTGTGGGGATCGATGGCTTGCTTTACAACTTACCTTTTCGTGGAGCGGGTCCGGTGTCACCCCGTGCGGTAGGTGTCACCTGGTGTTGCAGGCACCCCCCGCACCTGCCTCGGGACACCACTGGTCTTCAGTCACCAACAGAATTTCTGTGGTGGTACCACCGTAGAGTCCCATGTACATTGGCATTTGTTCACATCAGAACTGCTTTTCTACAGCTTAGAAGGAGCATCTGTGATGGAATTTAGAAGCATCTCAAATGTAAGCTAAATGCAGCTGAAAGCATGCTGCTATTTCCCTCTCAACACAAGGCAAATGCTGATTATTAACCACTTCAATTCCAGACACTTTCACCCCCTTCCTGCCCAGGCCAATTTTCAGCTTTCAGCGCTATCACACTTTGAATGACAATTGTGCGGTCATGCAACACTGTACCCATATGAATTTTTTAGCATTTTTTTGAGACAGATAAAACTTTATTTTCGTGGCATTTATTCACCGCTGGGATTTTTATTTTTTTGCTATATACTGTAAATGAAAAAGTCCAAACATTTAAAAAAAAAAAGTGTTTTTCTTATAAAAGTTTGCAAATAAATAATATTTCTTCATAAATCTTGGCCAAAATTTATTCTGTTATCTTTTTAGTAGAAAACAAAATAACCCGGATTAGTTTACAACCAAAATTATAATTTTTCAAAATGTTTTTTACATTTTTATTTTATTTTTTTATATTATTATTTATGTTTTTTTGTTTTTCTTTTACATACTGTCACCCTAGCAGTACAGTGTCACCATAGTGACACTGTACTGCTTTTACACCCATAAAGGGTGTAAAAGCAATAATTTCTCCTCTCTGGCTGCACTATTGCAGCCAATGAGAAATACTGTGAGAGCTGTGATTGGTCACCGCTTGCACATGGTACAAGGCTGTTGTGAATAGTCTTGTACCATGTGACCTCTGTGATCATTCACAGATTTCACTAGTAGTAAGCAATGATGTCAGGAAGTGACATCTTGCTTACTGCTATTCATGTGATCACTGATTGGCCAATCAATGATCACATGATCGGGAACTCACACAGAGGTCCTCCTCCAGACACAGCAAGCACCGGATCGCGGTGCTGCCACCGCTCCTGCACTGCTCCCGTCCGGCCATTTATGTACATGGGCCGTACATGAAGTGGTTAATATAATGGTGTGTATTGGGCAGCCAGATGGACAAACTGGCAATAAATGGAGATTAAAATGGACATAGCGGGGTGTTTGCTTACCGTAAGATCAGGACACTTTAGATATTTTAGCTTTGGTTTAAACACCAGGTATGAGCTCTTTTTACATGTCCTTTTAGAAGTTCGGTTTTCCAACATATATGTGATTTAAACACCTTCTTTGTTCTTTCTTGATCAAGTCATAAATTATACAATATGTATAAAGAAGGATGGATGGGTTACATATTCTGCAAATTTTCCTTAGTTAAACTGGTATATTAGTTTAAACTGGCATATTATTTAAATGGCTAGCTTCACCTACAAAATTGATTATATAAATAGGTAGGTACTACTAAAAATAAAAAAATTAAAAAATCCCAGTGAAAAAAATTCCAGTGAATGTCTGCGTAGCTCTCAGCCTGACTCGGTTTTGTTCAGGAAGTTTGACAGAAAGTTCCCATCCCACTGCCGAAACACAGCCCTGTATACTGAATATAGCTGAGGATACATACAGTGAATACAGCTCACCCAGCAAATGCACCTGTTAGTGTAGTAAATAGTTTGCTTAGACCAGCTTGGCCCAAACAAACCATCTCTTAGATTGTAAGCTCCAAGGATCAGGCCCTCCTAACCCTCTTGTATTGAACTGTATTGTTGCTGTATTGTCTCCCGTTATATTGTAAAGCGCTGAGCAAACTGTTGGCGCTATATAAATCCTGTATAATAACAATAATAATTTAAAGGGACGTTAAACATGAAACAGGCATAGCAATTAACTCATAACTCATCCTTTTTTGGACAGCTAGTTCTGATTTTTCACTACTGCGAACGTTTTTTTTTTTTTTTTTTTGCCTGTTTTGTTAATCGATCCGTCTTTCCAGAGCAGTTGTTGCTTGAAAGATTACAGACTTTTTATATAATATCACTCTTTCTAAAGCTGGCTATGGATGAAAAGAATTTCAATCGGAAATTCTTAGGAAGAGTCCCTGAAAAATTCTTACAAGAAATCTTCGAACGTTCTCAGAAAATTCTTAGAACATTCAAATGTTGTGCCAATAGATTTTATTTGATTTTGGAATGAATGGACTTTACCGAACGAAAACCAGATACCCTGTTAGAAAATTGTTTCTTTGAGAAAAATTTTCCATCCTCCTCCTTTGAATTTTCTCACTACACTACTATCTCACTACACTACTCACTACTATCACTACAGTCGAAAACAAACGTCGCTTTAATCCCATTAATGATTAGAAAAATGAAAATATTCTTTTTCTAAGAATTGTCGTTAGAAATTCTCATCTATGGCCAGCTTTACAGGGGCTATGTAATATCACTCTATTTCAGCAGAGTCCAAAAAAAATAGCAAGGAAGGAATTGGGGCAGCACAGTGGCTAAACGGTTAGCAATTCCATCTGGCAGTACTCGGGTCGTTGGTTCGAATCCCAGCCACGGCACCACCTGCCTGGAGTTTGCATGCTCTCTCTGTGCCTGTGTGGGTTTCCTCCAGGTACTCCGGTTTCCTCCCACACTCCAAAAGACATGCTGGGAGGTTAATTGGATCCTGTCTAAATTGGCCCTAATATGTGTATGTATGAATGTAAGTTAGGGACCTTAGATTGTACACCCCTTGAGGGTTAGGGACTGATGTGAATGTACAATATATATGTGTAAAGTGCTGCGTAAATTGACAGCACTATAGAAGTACCTGAAATAAATAAATAAATTTAGTGGAAGCAGTGATGAATGGGAATAGCAGGTAGTATCTTACCATGAAGAGGATCCCCTCATTGTCCACAGGCTCGGAGTCCTCTTCATCCCAGGCCTTAGCGATTAGGTACAGCTTGTCTGGCTCGCCAACACTCACGCTTCCTCTCAGAGCTAACAACACCCCCTCTTCCACAGAATGGGTTTTGGAGTCTGTGCAGGAGTCTGTGAGTTTGGAGTAGTCCCACTGTGCGCTGACCTTGTCTTCACAGTCATCCAGTCCTATGGCACTGATAATTCTAGATAGTGGATTGTTATGATATAGAGAGTCGGAGGGCTGCTGTTTTCTGACTCCCATGTGGTAGATGCACTGATCTGGGCTGATGAGCTTGTGAAGAAAGTTCTTGTTGCCATCAATTGGTTGCGTTTTCTGTGGTGGATAACCAATAATATTTCTGTCGTTTTGCTGCTTGGAGCAGCAATCCAATATGTCTTTGCTATCCCATTGCTTGGAGCTGGATTCATCTTCCTATGGTATAATACATAATAGGGAATTAAATATTGGAAATCTGCATTCAAAAGTTAAATGCATCTTGAAGGAAAAGGTTTTATAATATTGGGGCTTAATGGGAGGGGCAGGGAAAGAGAATAGTTTTTTTTAACTAAATTACTGGATCTTAGCCTGTTTAAAAAGCATACTGGAAAAGGGCTTTGGGGTGGATAGGCTGCTGATTTTCAAAGCTGGCTAAATGTGGACTCTGGACATAGCAGCCCTAGGCGATTAGCTGTGCCATCCCTGATTTGTACAGGCTTTTGGCACTGTGTGCTGGCAAAATCAGTGATTGTCGCCAGCAGACATGCAAACATTGTATGCCAGCAGCTGCCGCAGACCGCCCATGTGAATGAGCCCCAACCCTGGTGATTTATTTCTAACTGTGGCTCAGAAACAATTGAGTACTGTCTGTGATACTCTTTTTATTTGCACTAACATACAATTTTGAGGACAAGCTTTCGGGGAGTGTCCCCTTCTTCAAGGTCCAAGCAGTACTAACGTACTCGAGTACTGCCTGGACTTTGAAGAAGGGGACACTCCCCAAAAGCTTGTCCTCAAAATTGTATGTTAGTGCAAATAAAAAAAGTATCACGGACAATACTCAATTGTTTCTGTCGCAAATGCACTAATACGGCTACAATCACCTCAAGCTAACTGTGGCTCAGAAATTACAAAGAAGAGTGTGTTAATCTAAACTATCACTAGATGGCGCTCTGGCTTCAAATATCTTATTGGGTGTTCAAACTTTGCACTTCTCACCTGTACCGGTACTGGAGCTCGGGTTTCCTGTTCCGGAGTAGTCTTGCCTCTTTTACGCTTCTTCCTTTTATTTTTAGTAAATTGTTTGGACTGTGCTGGTTTGCCTTCTGTAGCATGTACCACGTTGTTTGGGATGTGCTCTATGCTTTCAGTCAGACTGTAAATAGTAATGAAAAAGCCATTATTAATCACATCAGGGCGCTGTCATCCCACACCTTCCCACTGATAGATATAGAAAGAGAACACCTAGAGAGCCTCACAGCAAAAATCCAGGCAGTAGAATTATCTGATATATCTGATTACTTTTTCTTGCACTGTTATGAAGATATCCTGATGGATAATCACCTACTGATCATCAATATCCCAAATGATAGTCCCTGTGACTTTATCACAGGTACTCCTTTAGACGTATCCGTAGCAGGAGCCAGTGTAAGGAGCCACCAGGGCACCCTATGCGCCTTACTGTACATATAGGGTGCCCTACCAGAGCTAGCATTGGCAGATCTCTGGACACTTGCATGGCCTGTGACAGGGGAGAACAAAACTCTCCTGTCATGTCAGCAATTTAAATTAATTATTTGAATGATGTAAGTTATTATTAGGTTGAATTGTACAGCAAGCATTTCCTGTAGTGTTGGCAGGTTGCATAAAGTGTTATTGGCCTTTCACCTCCACACATTGGTCAGAGCTGGAAACATCCCAGGGACCACGTATCCAGAACTCCCAAAAAACCTACAACTGGAGCCCAACTTTTTCACACTTTATTTACAGTACTTTATGGGGGCTTCTGAATTAAAGTGCTAGCCACAAATAAGGATTCCACTGATCCAAGGATAGCTGCACACATCAGCATTGCCGGAGGACACACTGAATTTAAGATTTTCTTACTTGTACTGTTTTGAGTCTGGGATGTACGTAGGACCTCCCTGGAAAGTCGGGCATATCTGTGGATTATTCTCACCTGGAAGTTGAAGAAAACAAAACTGTTAAGAGAGAGAATTAACACGGAGTTGTAGAAGGCAGTACTACGGTGGTGGAGGTGTAGTGTATGGAAATATTCAGCTCTAGGTGATGTTCGATAATACGTAATGGGAGGAGGATATGTAAAAACAAAGAAAAGGATACACAGTTTGATTAATGGGAGCATAAAGCAATGGGATAGGTCTGTACATGAAGCAAAAGAACACTCTTGTATTATGTGACGGGAGTGACTTTGGGTGGGAGGGCCCATGGAACACAGCCCCCTTTGGAGAGGTGGGGAGACCCCTGTATCAGCTCCCCATATCCCTATTATGTGTAAGTCACCCTGTGCCTGTTAGCGGTACAGGGTGGAATGTCCTGATATTGTGTAAACATATATAGGTGGGGTGTGGGGGTTGTTCATTATTTACTGCCACGTGGTCCCATTGTTCTATTGTATCTTGCTTGGGAGCAAACTATTATGGGATGTATGTGTTTTGTATATTGGCTTGGTGGGGGGTGTCTGCTGATGTCTCTTGTTACTAGATTTGGTTTGCCCCACCCTGTGTCCTTATGCAGGAGGTGGGTTGTTCCCTTGAATGTATATATCTTGTGTCTGTGTTAAAATAAAGCAGTCCATTTCCTGTTTTAATACAAGTCTGGTGCTGTCTCGTCTTGTATGGTCAGCGGTGGTGTCGGTGGATCTGTGTTCGGACAGGGAAGCGGGAGGCTAACGGAAATACCCTAGTGCAGTCGGGGTCCGGTTCCGTTACATATTAGTTCTAAAATTTGGTGTCACAATAGAAATTATTAAAGACGTAAAGGAAGGAGCAGTTTGAAAGACTGTGGGGTGGAGATCATGGTGAAATCTTACATTCAGGTTGTGCTATGATGGAGATTCCCATGGCGGAGCTCTCTTTCTTCTCTGTGGCAGTCCCATTATATAATAATGTGGCCCAGTGGCTGACCTTATTATTCACAGGAACACAGTGATTTTCTGCTTCACCCATTTTGGTTTTCAGAAGCTCAGCAGACTGAGACAGACAGAATGGCGGATACACTGGGGCCGTGGTGTAGACCAGGTCTTGACCTTTGTGGGAGTCTATGGCCATCTTTCAAATAGGTGTCGGCCTGAAATGACAAAATATTGAGAAATAATGAATGTTTACTGTGCAATAAAAATTGTTAAACAATTCTTTGTATCATTACAAAACTGTGGATATAAAATTGAATAAAGCTGGGTAATCAATACCAAGAAATGTCAGGGTTTAATTCTGTGTAGCAAAGCATAGGAATTCTTCCTTTGTTCTGGCTCCATTGTTTCTCAGGGACGACTGCTATAATTCTAGATTTCTCCTGCACCTGTTAGAATAATCTGGTATTGCAGCATGGCAATAACATTACAGGTGTACCTCAGTTTACGAACGCCTCGGTTTACGTAATGTTCGGTTTATGAATGAAAATCCATTGAAAATAATGCCTCGGTTTATGAATTTTTTACAAATTTTTTTCACAATACAAAGTAAGTTTCCCTAGGATTTATAAATGTGATTCTTGTGAGCTACTATGGTGTATTAATATTAAGTGAAATAAATAAATACATTTACCAAATATTTTAATATATTTATTTTAATATATTTTTTGATAAGTTTCCCTAGGATGCATTGCGCCTGGGAGGTTTTTAGCGCTGCGTCTGTGGAAACACGTGGCGTCAAGTGCGGAAGTGTCGGAGGTGTTGGAGCGGTTTTTGCATCGAGGTATTGCTTGATTAATCATGTCCCTGTATAGTATTTATGCCTTTTAAAATGCACGTTATAAAGAGTTTTGAACAAATAACAGACTTTTTTTTAACTTTTTGACCTCCGGAACGGATGAATTGGTTTTCAGTACATTCCTATGGGAAACCGAGTTTCGGATTACGAATTTTTCACAATACGAAACATCCCGGAGAGCGCATTAAATTCGTAAACGGAGGTACACCTGTACACAGGTTTGCGTATGAACCATCATAATTTTATGGTCAGAGATAAGTCCCCAAAGCTCCAATGATGGGAACCCGCTGTTCTTTTTAAGGGTTTGTGAAAAGTACTTCTTTTTGTTGCTACAAATTGGAACACTTTCATATGGTTTGAAATTGATTTAAACTGTTCAAGTGTAAAACCTTAAGGACCTCGTATTCCCTTAAAAAGTCTATGGGGAATGCAAATTCCACTTGAAGCAGTTTGCATGCAGAAAGGGATGAACTGCAGGTCAAATGCAAGTCAGTTGAGTCTGAAAGATCCCAGAAGCATCTCACTGATGACAAATTGATGCCACAGACATAAGCCCATAGGCACTTGCCCTAAGATTAGTAGGTTCAGTTTTTAGTAGAATATATATATTTTGGAATATGTTAGACAAGGTTAAACATATTTGTGTGTTGGACAGGTTTCACTTGCATAGCCCAACTCCAGATAAAATGTTTCATTTCATTTTGGATAGAGCAGGGAATAGTTAAAGCAGTGGTCTCAATTGCAGCCCAGGTGCCAGATTCAGGACTTTTGCTTGTCTTTATCTGACCATTGGGGCACTATGCCATCTCCTGACAGCAACAATAGGACATGTTTCCTGTCACTGACACCAACAATGGGGTACTATTCCACCCACTGACACGAACAATAGGGCACAACTTCTCACATTGACAGGAAGGATGGGGCACAATTCCTTCCTTTGACATCAATAATGGGGCACTATTCTCCCAATGACACCAAAGATGGGACATGGTTTACTCCCACTGATGTCAGAACAAGTTCTGCTCCCACTTGGGCAAAATCCGGCCATCTTAAAGTCTGAAGGACAGAGAACTGGCCCTTTGGAAAGTTTGGAGATCCATGAGTTAGAGCCTCTGACAGTTTTTTTATTTCAATCTGTGTCATTATTGGGGACACAGACCAACATGGATACAGAAAACAGCTCATTTTTAGCAGTGGTGGACAGGGTTAGCACTTAAAGAATTGTATTGCTGTGGATATCGCAGGGACAGGAAGGGGGTCTCAGACAGTAAGAAAAACCTGAGATTTAGCTAGTGTTGGGCTTTAATTGTGACGTTGTCTTTTATGTTCCCTGGCCAACTTTTTTTTTTTTTATTTATTTTTTTAAGATCTCAATTACCTATTATAATGGTCACCTATACTAATAGACTCAGGAAAAAACGTTTCATTGTAATGGCTCTGGTGATAACCACAGAAGATCAAATGTCTTCTCAGATCTGAAACAAGAACCAGCATACTCAATGTCTTCTGCTGGTAAAAGCAAAAACCGAGTCTGAACTTCTTTTGTTACAAATGTGAAAGGATAGCAAAAGTGAGCTTGTCTGATGGACAGAGCAGGCTGAACAGGTTATTGCAAAAGCATAATGTTTTCTGTTTCCTTACGTCATGTCCATAGATAGCTTGGAGGCATCCAGCACTACCACATTATTTTGCAGAGCAAAGTCCTTCAAAAGGCTTGTGTGTTTATACGTATTTATTATAGGTACTTATATAAGGCCGTCTACGCAACGCTTTACATATATTGTGCATTCACATCAGTCCCTAACCCTCAAGGAGCTTCCAATCTAGGTCTCCAACTCACATTCATACATACACATACTAGGAACAATTTACCTACCAGCATGTCTTTGGAGTGTGGGAGGAAACCCACGCAGGCACAGGGAGAGCATGCAAACTCCCCGCAGGTAGTGCATGATATATTACATAATATATTAAATATAGTTAAAAATTGGGGTTCTCCAACCCCTGTGTCACTACTGAGTCTGTGGTGACACAGGGATTGGAAAAAGGGATCTAATGATACACAGTAGGACACACTACCTAGAAGCAGGGGTGGACTGACCATTTGAGCACTCGGGCCCTGCCCGAGGGCCCAGGGGGGTCAGTAGGGGGCCCCATGAGATGCCCCTGGTACCTTTCATTTTCTTTTTCATAGGCTTTTTTGGGTGTGGGCGAGGACACAGGGGCCCCATAATCCCCTATTGCCCGGGGACCCCATGAGTTGTCAGTCCGCCCCTGCCTAGAAGTGTCAAATGCTAAAGAGTCTAATGGAATGGAGGAAAGGTACGACACAGGGGCAATTATAGGGGTGAATGTACCACCTCTTCTATTGCAAAGGAGTGTCATTTTTTTTTTTTACGGGTATCTTTAAAGCACAGATGTCAAACTGGTGGCCCTCCAGACTACAAGCCCCATGAGGCATTGCAATTTTGAAAGTTACAAGCATGACTTCCAAAGGTAGAGGCATGATGAGACTTGTAGTTTCGCAACAGCTGGAGGGCCGCCAGTTTGACACCCCTGCTTTAAAGCATTATGACTTGTGTGTGGGTTGCTTCTCATCATTAGAATGTCACAGATGAGAATACCTGAACCCTAAAAAAAAAAAAAATAATGATGCTCATCATCTCTATTCTGCTCTAGGTAAGCTTAGCTGTCAGTCAGCATTTTGTAATGACGTGGGCACAGAAAACATTTTCAAGACGTCATTTCCTGGACTACACATTTTAAACAAGGAATGAATATAAATTTGTAGTTGGATATATAACGTGATATTACTAGTTATGTAACAACAACATGCTTTTCCATTAGACAGGAGTATTTCTTTAAAAGGAATCCAGTTTCTCTATCCACTTAATTATACAGCTACTGTATATTGGTTTTAGTGGTGTAGACAGATCTTGTTTGTACTTGTTTGTTGCATTTAGACAAATTTGACATTGCTGCCTGAAAAGTGAATGAACATGTTAAGAGGGGTGTAGAGTGAAACCCCATTACAGCTCCTTTTGGTGCTACTAAAGAATGACTATAAACTGGTTTACAGTAAATGCATGCTTGCTCTGCGTCATTGACTATTCCCAGGATCGGGATGACAGCTTTCTGTTTTAAAAGTCAGCAATGGATGCTCATATTTTTGTTTTCAGGAGTTATCCTTAAAAAAAGGACAAGCATTTTTAGGGCCCAACTTTCTTTGCCTGCTAATTGGTAAAAAAAAATAAAAGACTTTTATCTGTTCCCACTCAACTACATTGTTATGGTGGGATTATAATGGATGCCTTCTGATTCTGTTCAAATCTGCCAAATGAAGGGTATCTGTTTAATCTCACATTTATCCTGATATCTCTGCTTGATTTGACCCCCTCGGTGACTACTCTAAAAGCTGTAAGTGTATTGTTGACCGTTCCTGTAAAACTAATACAAAAATCTAAAACGTTTGTTCCCCGTGAGATCTAATAAACTATAAAACCAAAAAAAAAATCCATTGCTTTCATTCTGGCCTAGCAAATATAGTCAGTAAATGACCTCCTTCCACTGTATTGGGTACAATGCAACGGTGCCTGGGTTAAAGTCCACAATGATGGAAATGGAAGATGAGCTTCATATAATAAACTGAAACCAGGTACAGAAGGCTTTATCAGTTCTTGTGGGTGAGGCTGCAGACTCTTGTTACGTGATTCTGTACTGTTCAACATCTTTGAGCTGTAAAGGTGATGTAAAGCTGTAAGGGCAACGTTTGCCCTGAGTTCCCATACACTGGATGGAAGATAATTTATTATTATTTATTTCAGGTACTTATATAGCGCCGTCAATTTACACAGCGTTTTACATATATATTGTACATTCACATCAGTCCCTAACCCTCAAGGGGTGTACAATCTAAGGTCCCTAACTCACATTCATACATACACATACTAGGGCCAATTTAGACAGGATCCAATTAACCTACCAGCATGTCTTTGGAGTGTGGGAGGAAACCGGAGTACCCGGAGAAAACCCACGCAGGCACAGGAGAACATGCAAACTTCAGGCAGGATAATATGAAGTGCTGTAAATATAGGGAACTGGGAAGAAGGACAGCCTTTGGCACACAGCTGAAATTTAAAAACACGGATTATGCAGGGTGTGCCCCAAAGTCAATTTAAATACAAAATATGTTTGTAATACAAAATCGCATGTTAAGACATTGCTTGCATTGGCATTTTATCTGCATTTTAATCAGTCCAGGATATTTCCTCCTCTTTATAAAGTGATTGTAAACCTTTGTGGTTTTTTTTTTAAATCACAAACATGTTATACTTATCTGC